TTTTTTTGTCTTTTTGAGACCAGTTGTAGCCCCAGCTATCCTGGAACTCACTATGTAGACCAGGCTGGCCTCGAAATAAAGATCCGCCTGCCTCTGCCTCCCAAGTGCTGGGATTAAAGGCGTGTGCCACCACGCCCGGCTTAATATATGTTTTTAAGATTTATCTTGTGGGCTGGAGAGTTAGCTCAGCAGTTAAGAACAGTAACTTTTTACAGGAGACCTGAGTTTGAATCTCAGAACCCACATGGCAGCTAACAACTGTTCATAACTCCAGTTCCACCAGATCCAACAGTCTCTTCTTTCCTCAGCAGGCATTGCATGACAAGGGTGTACTTACTTACGTGCAGGCATAACATTCATACACATAAAATAAAAATAATTATATATATATATATATATATTTTTTTTTTTTTGTTTTTTTGAGACAGGGTCTCCCTGTATTCCCAGCTGTCCTGGAACTCACTATGTAGACCAGGCTGGCCTTGAACTCACAGAGATCCGCCTGCCTCTGCCTCCCAAGTGCTGGGATTAAAGGCGTGTGCCACCATGCCCGGCAAAATATTTTTAAAGATGAGAAAAAATTTATTTTATTTTGTGTGTGAGTGTGGTCATGCACATGCCACGGCACACATGTGGAGGTCAGAGGACAACTTTTTGGTAGTCAGTTGTCTCCTTCCACCTTGTTTTTGAGGCGTATCTCTTGTTACTTTTGCCTCTGACTGCACTCATGTAATAAGCTTCTAGCTGATTCTCCCGTTTCCACCTCCCATCTTGCCGGAGGAGTGCTGGGACCTGGATTGCAGATGCAAGCCGCCACATCTGGCTTTTTACATGGGTTCTTTTTCTACATGGATTCGGGGATTGAACTCAGGCCCTTAGACTTGCATGGCAAGCATTTTCACCTTCTGAGACATTTTTCTATCCACCTCTCTCCTTTTTTGAGACAAGATCCCCCTCTAATCACAGCTGGCCTGGAAGAGATCTTGCCTGCCTCTGCCTCTGAGGTGTTGGGATTAAAGGCGTCCACAACCATGCCTGGCTTCCCCTCCCCCTTTTAACATAATTTTTAGATTTATTTTTATGTATATGAGTGTTTCATCTGCATGTATGTGCAGTGCATATGTACCTGGTGCCTAGTACCTGTGGATACCAGAAGAGGACATCAGATCCCCTGGAACTGGAGTTAGGAAGGGTTGTGAGTCACCATGTGGGTTCTGGGAACTGAACATTGGTCCTCTTCAGGAGTAACAAGTGCTCTTACCCACTGAGCTATCTCCCCCCGCCCCCCCCCCCCCTTTTTTTTTTGTATTGTTTGTTTTGTTTTGAGACAGGGTCTCATTATGTAGCTTTGGCTGGCCTGGAACTCATTACATAGACCAGAGATCCACCTGCCTCTGCCTCCTGAATGCTGGAAATTAAAGAGAGAAACCACATCCAACTCTTATGTTTTGATGAATGTTTCATGGCTGGGTATGCTGGTGCATGCTTGTAATCCTAGCATTTGGGAGCCTAAGAGAGAGGATTCAAGTTTGAATCCAGCCTGGGCCAGATAATGAGACCCTGTCAGAGAGAAAAAGCTTTTATTTTGATGTAGAGTCATATATTCTCCTAATTCTGATTTGACTTTTTACTCAGTGTCTTTTTATTTCTATTTTCTGATTAACAGGTTAGTGTTTCCTTTCTATTTATGTTTCATATCAAATTTAGGCATCTTTTGGCTATAGCATGGGCACAAAGATACTGTGTTTGCTTTTACTTGTGAATCTTAAATTTTTAGGTCATATCTTGGTCCTTAGTTAATTTAGAATTGATTTTGTTTGGGTTGTACTGTGGGAGTCAAAGGTAGCCTCCATTTGCATCTATGAATACCCTGGACACATATTGACATGTCATCCTTTCTCTTATTGTGCTGTAATGTCACCCTTGTCATAAATCTAAGGTCATGAGAGTCTACTTCTATTTTCTGTTCACTTGGCTGCTTTGTGGCATGTGCCAATTTAATTTTTAAAATATTCTTTCTAAGTTGTTATTCATATACCATAAAATTTGCCCTAGTTTAGTTCAGTGATATGATATTTACTATATTTGGAGAGTTGTGTAACCATTACTACTAATTTCAGTACAATCTTTCATTCTCAAAAGGGACCTTACCAGTCCTTCCAAACCACTTGTGTACAAATCTTGGTTTCTAGACTTGCCTCTTCTGGACGTCCCATCTAAATGGAATCATACCATGTGGCTGGTTGTGTGTGGTTCCTCTACCTGAGGATTATCTTTTCAAGGCTCATGTAGCAGGTGTAATACCTTATTCTTTAAAAAATAATTTAATTTTATGTATTTATTCAAGAAAGATGTCTTATCTTTTATAAGAGATACTGGTTGTTTACTAATTCCATCATTCCTAGGTATTCTGAAGTTCTCTGTACTCTTCAGATTAGTAATTCATTGTAAGACTCTTAATGATTATGTATGTTTGAAAAATTCTTTATATTAAATTGTCATTGATGTTTTATTGAAAATACAAATAACAAGGACTTAAAGACTTTGTTTAAAAATTGTTTTACATTTTTTTTTTGTGGGTGTTCGTGTGCCATGGGCATGTGTATGGAGTTCAGAGGACGTTTTGGGTTCTGGGGATTGAACTCAGATGTTCAGGCTTTACAGCAGCCAACTTTACTACTGATCCATCTTGTCAGCCTCCACTTAGTTATTGTTGTAGCCCAGATTGGTCTTAAATTCACAATCTCTCTTCCTCAGCCTCTTGAGTGCTAGAATTATAGACATGTGCCACCATGCCCAGCTCTTCGTCCTCTTTTTTAAAATGTAGCTATTTGATTTGTATTATTTATTTGTGTGTG